GCAGCAGAGGAGGAGAGAGAAGAGTGAGGAGGAGGAGGAGAGGAGGAGATGGAGGAGGAGGAGGAGGGAGGAGGAGGAGGAAAAGGAGGAAGAAGAAGAGGAGGAGGAGAGGAATAATGAGGAGGAAGGGGAGAATGAGGAAGAGAAGGAGAAGGGGGAGTAGGATGAGCAAGAGGAGGAAAAGGAAGAGGAGGAGGAAGGTGGAGAGAGGTGGAGGAGGAGGGGAAGAGAAGGAGGACGAAGGAAGTGGAAGGGGAGGAGCAGGAGGAGGAGAAGAAGAAGAAAAAGGAGGAGGAAAAGTAGGGCACGGGAGAGGAGGAGAAGGATGAGGACGACGACGACGACGATAACAAGAAGAAGGAGATGGAGAAATGAAAGTAAAAAAAGGAGGAAGGTCGAAGGAAAAGGAAAAGAAAGGGAGAAGGAGAAAGAGAAGGATAATGCACCGAGGAAGAAGAGGGAGACGAGAAGATATCTCACACTGCTCTTCCTACCATAACTATACACTGTTTCACGTCGCGGTGTCTGCATCAGTTCCCCTTACAATAAAACGATTTTTTTCTCCATGTTCCATCATTTTCCACGCGAACGAATGAAAAATATCATCAGTTCCGCTCTTACTCAAGATAGCAATAAAGGTGGAAATCGCTTAACGTGGGTGATTGGAATTTGACCCTTCGAGGCGGCACCTTTGAAGGGAGCGACAGTGCCATGCCTTAAGATCTGAACCGCAAGGAAAAATGACCCTTGGACGTTTCTGGCGTTAGGTTAATAATCCCCTGCGCGTAACTTGTCGATTATTTCTCCTTGACTGCGCACACAAGTTTGGGTATAATTGGCTCATGTAAAATATAATTGGCATCCAAATTATCAGATTAATTACACTATGTATTTTTTTCTCTCTTTTCTTTTCTTTATTTTGTTTTTTCTATTTCACTCTAACTTTCGTGGTTGATTTTGAGACGGTTTTGAAGTATTTGACGCCCTCTCTCTTCTTCCCCTCCCTCCCCCCCCCACTCCGAAGGTCCGAAGGTCGTCCTCGAAGCCATCTTGAGATTCGAGGAGGACCTGAAGGACGAGAACTCGAGATGGATGTCGGGTTTTGTTTCGACCGTTAGGGAAATCTGGATGTTATTTTGCTGTCCTTTTTCTTGTTTTTCTTTTCCAAAAATTGATGCAATGGTGATTTTCTCTTTCAAAAGATGGAAAATTTTCATCAATTGTGACAATTTGGTATCATTATCATTCATATATTCATTATCATTCATCGTATCATCATCATTTTCATTATTATTATCATTAATAATATCATTATCATTATAATCATAATCATTATTTACCATTACTGTTATTATCATTATCATTATCATTATTATTAGTTGTATCAATACTACCATTATCATTATTATCATTATCATCAAACCTTTTTCAAAATGGGCAACGAGAAGGAAATTCACTTGAAAAAAGGAAGTATGAATATTTAAGGACAGTCCAGTACCAGTCGCCATGATTTCTAATACATAATTTATCTTCTAATTAAATTGTTTTTTTCTCTAAATGCTTGTTTACATTCAGGAGAAGAAGAGGAGGAAGGGGACACCACCTCCCCTCCTCCACCGCCTTGTCTTCCTCAAACCAAACATCTTCAGAATCTCGCTGGCTCGACCTGCATGGGAGAGCTTGTACAAAGACGCCATATCCAAACGACATATCTTGCGCTACCTAATTACCATCGGTTTTCGGCCTGCCTTGTTCCCGGACTTTAATCATGGTGCTGTTGGTTTCTTTAAGGTGGGTTTGTGGCTTCGTGGTGGCGGGGATGGAGGTTTGTGGTGTTTTTGGTTTAGTTTGCCCTATCTTTCGTCGCCGCGTTTTCTTTGATGCGCTTCTCGATTTTCTTTTGTTTTTGTTTTTTGGCGCGTCTTGTGTCATAGTAATTTTTGGTCATTCTCCTTTTGTTTCTTGTCTGTCACTCTTTATATATATATATAATATATATATATTTATATATATATATATATATATATATATATATATATATATATATTATATATTACTTATATTATATATTATTTATTTTTTTTTTTTTTAAGTCTTACTTTCTCTATTTTTGCTTCTCTTGTTTGGGCCGTTATCTTGAAAGTTATCAAGCTTTCGGAGCTTTTTCTTTTCATTCTCTTTTCTCTTCGTTATCTCTTCGTAGTGTTTGTCCGTAGTTATCTCTATTTTTTACCTCCTTTTTGTTGAAAAAAAAAAAAACTTTGGATTACTGATTGTTATCTATAATATTTTCTCCTCTTCTTTCTTTTTAGGTATTTTCTCTTCTTATTGTATTATATCATTTCTTTTTCCCATCTTTGTTTTCCTTCACTTTCTTACTTATCATTTTTCCACATATTCCATATTTGATTTTCTTTCTTTTGGTGTCTTACTCTCTCCTCTTCCTTTCTACTCTATCCTTCCCAAGTTTTATCATACTTTATCTGCGGTTCTCTAATTCTCTCTGTCTTCTTTGCTTCAACCTTCGTTAATTTATCATCATTTCTTTTCTTTAATTTTATCTTTCGTTCCGTCAATCAACTATTATCAATAATATTGTTTTTTTTTTTTGTAATTATCGTTGTTATTGTATCATTTCATCACTACATTATCATTATCACTATCATTTTTGTCATCTTTATCATTTTCAATTAGCACATTATTATCTTCTATTATCGTTATTATCATTGTTNGAAATCCCATCCGACGAGCGTAGAAAGGTGACCCTTATCGCCAAACAACCCCTCCTCCCTCCTCCTCCTTCCTCCTCCTCCTCCACCTGTATCTCTCACCCCCCCTCCCTCCCTCCACCTCCTCCCCCTCTCGTTCTTACCCCTGGGGCACATCCATAGCCCCGGGGAAGGTATGATAATAACCCCCAAAGTGATTTTTAACCCCGCAAAGAAGCCTTAGAGACAGCCCTAGGGGGGAGGGGACGGGGAGGAGGATGGGAAGGAGGGGAAGGAGGGGGAAGGAAGGCTGAGTGGGCGTTGCTTGCCGTTGCTTGCCGTTGCTTGTGTGCAGGTGCCTGTTGTTGGCGCGGCGTGATAATGCGCTGTATTTACCGGTCGTAGGTCCTGGCTGCGGCGGCGTCTCGGGAGTGCAGGAAGGGAGACAGACAGACAGACCGATAGACAAACAGACGGTATATAGGTAGACAGGCATAGACAGACCCGTGGATTAGTGGAGAGACAGACATAGAGACAGACAGACGATGAAGTTGGGACGACGAGAGACACACGGAGAGGAAGGGGAAGGAGAGAAAAGGAGCGATCTTCTCTGAAATGCGCACCAAGGCAATTAAAAAAAAAAATAAATAAATAAAAATTGGAAGCTTCGTCTCGGCGCGGAATGAAACGGACGAGAGGCGTCTGCTCCGGCGTCGTCCCTGGTTGCGGTGCCTGATGGGCGTGGGACGTCCTGATGGCGGTCGGGATCCACATTTCGGCATTAGCGGATGCCTTGTTGGCTTCAGCCGGGGGGGGGGGGCGGAGGGCGGGGAGGCCTCCTGCAGCACGGGGCACGCGGGCGGGACGGGGGGGGGGGGGCGAGGGCATGGCACAGGCGTCCGGGTGAGAGGAACTCCGGAGGGAAGCCGGGGTTTTAAGGGGGCTTCTTTGGGAGTGCTGAGGGGGCGGGGTCTTATCCGTTTTTTTATTTATTTTTTTTTTTTTTTTTTTTTGAAAGAGAGAGAGAGAGAGAGAGAGAGAGAGAGAGAGAGAGAGAGAGAGAGAGAGAGAGAGAGAAGAGAGAGAGAGAGAGAGAGAGAGAGAGAGAGGGGGGGGGAGGGAGGGAGGGAGGGAGGGAGGGAGGGTGGAGACAGAGAGACAGACAGACAGACACGCATGGGCAAATACAGACACATGTTGACAAAGATACTTAGACAGGCGAGACATCGACATACATTCAGACATACAGATGTAGATACAAACACAGATGAACATAGATACAGAAAGACAGGCAGATACAGATAGTTAAAAATAAACAGACACACACAGATACACATAGATACAAAAAGACAGACATATGCACATAGATATAAACAGACAGACAGACACAAATACTAGTAGACACACAGACAGACAGACAGACACGCACGCGACATAGCGTTCATAAACAGACACACACAGATACACATAGATACAAAAAAGACAGTATATAAACAGACAGACACAAATACTAGTAGACACAGACAAAACAGACACGCACGCAGACATAGCGACAGCGTGCCACACTCCTATCGCGATGCACGTGGCCCTGGCTAATCTCCGGTGCCAGGCGCGCCGTGCCATGTCAGCGCGTTGCATGCACTCGCCTCCCTCGACCCCCAGTCTCCCGCAGCCCGCTGGAGGAGGAGCCCCGCGTCAGGTGCTTGCGGGCGGCGACCGGTGGGGCGGGAGCCTTGGGAGTGACTCGGCGCCTTCGTGCTTTTTTTCCCCCTGTGTGTTGCGCGAGGGGGGGGGGGGTGGGGTGGGTGGGGGTGGGTGGGAGGGGGTTGAGGTTGGCGGGCGGAAGGGGAGCCTCTGGGGTTGACTTGGGTGTCGGGAGGTGTGTGGGGGGGAGTGGGGAGGGGGGGATCTGTGTCGTCTGATTTAATGGGAGGTCTTGGGTCGGTCTTACTCTTTTTCTTTCTTTTTTCTCTTTTGTTTTCTCTCTCTCTCTCTCTCTCTCTCTCTCTCTCTCTCTCTCTCTTCTCCTCTCTCTCTCTCTCTCTCTCTCTCTCTCTCTCTCTCTCTCTCTCTCTCTCTCTCTCTCCCCCCCCCGTGGTTGAGTCTGTTCCAGATAACGGATTTCTCCCCCCCCCCTCCCTCTGCCCCCGAATGTCGTATGGTAATGAACGTGACCTCAGATATACCTAATAACTCCATCCGTTTTCAGGGGTTCCGTTGAGGGGTTCCATGGGAGGAGGGGGGGGTCGCTCGGTATTCCATTTAAGGTGTTCTTGGGGTTCCGTCAGAGAATTAGTTCCAGGGTTTCATTGGGTGTTCCATCGGAGGTTCAAGGGTTTCATTAAGGGTTCCGTTGGAGGTTTCGTTCGAGGGTTCTGTCGTGGAGTTCCGTCGGGAGGTCCGGGGAGGTTCCGTCGGGAGGTTCCGAGGTTCCGGGGTCCCTCCCCGACGCCGGCATCCGGGTGGCCTTGCCTGCACCTTCGCAGGGCCTTTCGGTTGGGGGGGCGGGGGTCCGGGGAGGGAGATGGGGGGGTCCTGCGTAGGTGCCAGGGTGGAGTGGGGGTCGGCGTGCGGGTCGCCGAGGCACGCGGGCGACCCCCTGTGGCTGCCAGCGAGAATGCGTCAATGAATCCCGCCGAGTCATGCATTATTAATGGCTTGTGTGGAAAGATGATACCCTGCCAGGCATGCAATCGTACCCGTTCGCGGGTGTCGGGCCCTCTCCCCCCTCCCCTCCCCTGCTCACTCTTCTCTTCCCTCCCACTCTCTCTCCCCCTCCTTCTCACTCTCCTCTCCCCCCTCCTTCTCACACTCCTCTTCCCTCCTCCTCCCCCTCACTCTCTCCTTCCCCCCTTCTCACTCTGCCCTCCCCCCCTCCCCCCTCCCCCCGTGTTCCGTGCGGTGCAGCGTCTGCTCTGATTACCTCCTCGCCTTTCCACGGGACTCGTTTGTGTGCTTGAAGGCTTCCTGCGGCTTTCTGGGCGAGTTGCGGGCGCCGTCGCTACCGGTGCGGCGTGCCCGTGTGTGGGAGCGCGGGCGTGTGGGCCTCCCGAATCCTGGGTTCCCACGCCCCCGCCGCGCCGTCGTCTCGGATTGCGAGGTGGCCCGCTCTGCCTCCCCCCTCCTCCTCCCTCCCTCCTTTCCTCCTCCCTCCCCCATCCCCCCTCTGCTCCCGCTGGGTAATGCCAATCGGGTTTATACTCTTTTACTTATGTCGCCGTCCCCTTGTTCTAGCCCTATCCTCTGCGGGCGTGTGGATGGGCGTCCCGGGGTGCGACGGCGGGGAGGGTGACACCGCGGTGGCGTGCGGGGCAACTGCGAGGGCGATTGAGTCATTAGCTCATTACGAGGCTCCAGGTGGTGTTGTGTTTCGGTTGTGACCTTGGCTTGCCCCGCGACCTCGCGTGACCCCTCTGCGGCGCCCGGCCTTGTTCACGGTGGCCGCGGCTGTGTCCTACGCGGCTGAGTGGTTCCCCGGGGGTTGTCGTGCCCACGGGGTTTCCGGGGCATTTGCGTGGGCGTTGCGGTCGGGCGGTCGGGCGGGTGGCTCCCTCGCGACCCGGCCGCCCCCGACGCCGCGGCAGCCTCTTCAGCGAGTTTTTTTTTTTGTGTGTGTGTGTTTTTCATTTTTTTCCACGTTTTTTATCGCCCATTCGCCCAGAACGAGGTCGATGGTTAATGGATGTGAACTCGCGGCGGCGTCGGCGGCGCGGGGCGTCCACAAAGGGGGAAACGGTGGGCGGTTACGGGCGGGTAACGATCGGCTAACTGCCCCCGACGAGTCCCCCTCCTGTGCCGGGCGCCGAGGCATTGGCGCGCGCTCATGCCGGGCCGTCGCCGCGAATTGAGCCATTATCCCATTACGACGCGTTTACGACTTCCATGCCGTGGGGGGAGGGGGAGGGGGGAGAGGACGTGGGGGGACTTCCGTCGCATAAACACCTCCATCAAACATACACGCTCGTCCCTTCCCCTCCCCTCTCCCCTCCTGGCCTCCCTTTCCCCTTACCTTTCCCCTCTCTTTCTCTCTCCAGTTTTTCTTCTTCTTTTTGTTCGGGTCTCCCTTCTATTTTTCTCTTTTTCTTTCTCCATCTCTTCATTTCTTTTTTCCTTCCTACCTCTTATCTTTTATTTAGATATCTCTTTCTTTCCTTTCTTCCTTCTTATCTTTATTTACCTATCCCTTTCTTCTTTCCTCCCTTCCTTCCGATCTTCCTTTATTTCTTTCCTATCCTTTTTTTCCTTTCCACTCTTCCTTCCTTCCTTTTCTTATATCCTACCTTCCTTCCTTCTTTCCTTTTACCCGCCATCTTCCCTCCCTCCCTTTCTCTTTCCCTCCTTCCTTCCTTTCCCTCCCTCCCTCACCCTTCCTTCTTTCCTTCCTCCCTTCTTTCCTTCCTTCCTTCCCCTCCTTCCTTCCTTCCTTCCTTCCTTCACCCAGCTATCCCTCCTCCCCCCCTCCCCCCCCCCCAGCTGCCCGCACCTTCCTCACCTCCTCCGTCACGATGTAGGCCACCGGGCCAACCGCACTCCTGGCCACACCTGGGAAGTAGACTAGTTGGCCCACGGGGGAAGGGAGGGGTATGGGTGGGTTGGAGGGGGGAAAAAGGGGGGGAGGGGTGAGGGTTGAAAGGGAGGGAGGGGAAAGGGGAAAGGGGAAGGGGGGGGGTGAGGGGGAATGGGGAGGGGGAGGGGTGAAGGGGAAAGGGGGGGAGGGTGAAAGGGGGAGGGGGAGGGGGAAAGGAGGGGAAGGGGGGGTTTCTCTCGCCTGTTTTCTCTTTGCTTTCGTGAC